AGTTACTTGTAAAAATCGTAGGATTGCATGAGTTTGGCCACCTACTGTACTTGCAGTTCGCTCGGTTTTTTAGGAAACAAATTGTCCTTTAATAGTTGCGGCGAACTGACCACAGATTTATATTATCACAGAGGATAGCTATCCCTGCCAGCACAATCCGCGGACTGGACGGGGGATGGCGCCCGGGGGAATACGGAGAATCCGGGGATTCAGAATTTTTGATTAACGAATTATATATACAGAGCCCATTTTTCAAGATCTACTTTTTATCAATAAATTATGAATGACATTATCAGCTGACAATCAATTTGGGGTCTAAAAAATGAGAAAAAGGGGGCGGCGGGGGGGGGATGGGTTGAAATCCCTGTCCTGGTTCCCCGTCCACTCCCGGGATTTCCCCGTCCATTTCGGGGAAAGATCGCCAATGTGGACGGGGCTCAGGACGGGGACTTCAACCCATCCCCCCACCGCCTGAAAAATGTTTTCGCGGCGGGATCCCCATGGTTCTCATTTTTTAGACCCCAAGTTGATTGTTTTGTTAGAGGATAATGTGGTTAATGATTTATTTATAAAAAGGTAGATCTTGAAAAATGGGCTATGTAGATATAATTCGTTAATCAAAATTTTTCATCCCCCGATTCCCCAGTGCTCTAGACGGGGTAATCGGGGGATTGTGCTGGTAGGGATTATTTTCATAGAAACGTCAGCCTGTCGAAATGCAGACATTAATCAAAGTTTATGTTTCCTGCCCATGTGCTTATGAATGGCAATCGGTAGTGTCTTTACTGTCTTCTAGACGGAGGATGGATTTTAGAATGGCCCCGCTTCCCCTCCAGTTGTTTGGGCAGCATCCCGCTCGCACCCGTCAAAGCCAAGCAACTAGTTCTGGCAATTAAACCTGGTCTTCAGTCAGATATTGCGGAAAACCCATTAAGTGGAACTCTGAAAATGTGGAGTCACCACCACGCCATCGGTTGTGTAATTCAGCAATGAGCACTTACTGAGTTGCATTTTCAGGGCGCAATACCTGAACCTTGTCTTTGCCGACAATACTATCTGCCTAATACCTGTCGTGTCCACCATCAACGCGTATCCCTCCTTCCTGTCAACATGTACGTAGCATTGGCTACTCATTTTCACCTACTGTATGCTTTTACGGATTAGGCAACCTAGGTCATTTATTATCTTCTGGTCCCCTCCTTAACTGCTTTCTAAATGTTGCTCCTTTGCTACGACATACTATAAATGCATGAAGGTAGACTATTCTAAATCCTTTTTTCGATCTGTATTGCGGCACACGTTCTCTAATGCATTTATATATCGGTTCTGTACTGGTTCTAGGTGTGATAATATGAAGGGAAATTTTGAGAAGCAGAAAAGTCCACGATACATGGACTCCAATCCCCAAATTAGTGCCAGTTGGACAATAAAGTGTCCATCGATTTTACTAGAAAATGGATAGGGTACAGTGGGGGAACCCGTTGGGGGTCGACCCCTTCTGCTGTGTCCTGAAGCAGCAGAAACCTCGGCGAAACACGTGTCTGTGCACTTACCTAGTACCTATGTGAAGAGTACGGTAAAATACCTTTGCTGTTTACATAAACAAGGACGGTTAACTTGTGTGCTCATGGGGCAAAATGTTATTCAGAAGAATTTGATGTGCTCACGGGCATAAGACCTTTATTTGTCTGACATTTCGCATTCACACTAGCATTCACCCTTAGAAATACTCACAGTAAGCGTAATAGATGAGTAATCGATACAATTGTCATGTCATCATATACAAGGCATATGTAAAAGCTCCCACATTCATCATCGGTGATTTTAATTAGTGCGATGATTACTTGTTCGTCCATATCAATGTCACTTCTAATCGCTCATTTTGGACTGATTTTTATTATTTGACTCATACTTCCTCGACCATTTGGCTGGCTGATACTGTCTTTGGAAGTAGTCTTCGTTCACTCCCTTTCTGTATGGTCAAGTACTCTGCCCAGGAAACGTTTCGCCGCTGAGAACGGTGAAGTGGGGACAGCAGGCTTTCCAGTGGACTATGCGCCAGGAAACCCTGGCTCAAGCACAATATGCTTCCCACAGTTGTCACTCCTCGTAAGAATTCCTCTCTTGTCGAACGTGATAGTGTAGCCAGTTCCCGTGAAAAAATTTTCGATATCAGAGATGACGCTCTTCCCCCACATTGCTGCTGCATGTTTGGTCATCCTACAATTAATGTATCCGGGCAACTTCCTGTCCCAAATAACAAAAACTCCAGGGCACGCTTTTTTGCTTCCCTGCGGACTGTTGGTTCCGAGGAGGTCCACTGCGTGCAACACATCAAGTTGACGCAAGGGAGATGATTTGATATTGAATAAGATTATATTGTGGATACAATTGTGCTGCATCTATCGCACTCTCGCCTCGTTTACACACCTGGACCCCGTGTCACGACTGTAACAAGAAGACCGGGGATGGAAGAGGACGAACGTTACTGGCGTGGCCAGAGCCGCCTCTAGGCGTGCCTTCACATCTAGTTCGAATCACATGGACTGGGGAGTGCCGTAACGGAAACATGGTAGGGGGTATATCACAGCCTGACTCCAGGTCCGCCATTCCACCTCCTCGCCGCTGCTGTAGTATTGGCCCTCTTACAACTCCTGTGCCCATTTTGCGTCCAACCTCCTTATCTGCAACCATCTCTGGTGATTGTTTCCAACGCGAGTCGAAATAATCAGGTGAATAAATGCCTTGATCTACCCAATGTACCTCACTCTCCTGAAATGCTTCTCGGAACTCGCCTCTTCGCTTCTATCGGTTAACTATGCTCCTGGCTGTTACAAAACAATTCCCATATTTTGGATCTTCTAGCGGTCTCATGCATTAATACAGTTGATGTCTTGCGCAAAACGTGATGCACCTAAAAGATGGTATTCGAGATGCAGTGTATAAATGACATAATTTCAATTCCTTATGTGCTCAGACGGAGTTTGCCGCGCCGCCAGCCATCCTTACTGACATGCGAATCCCTTCATTAGAGATTTGTCAGAGATGGATGATTGGTAGGGTGACAAAGTGAAGCGTTCTCCACTTACGCATAACCGTTAGGGAAATTAATTTGCATCCTTACCGAGACGTCGGAAGAATTTTCGCAAGCTGAAAGGTTTCTTTAAGTTGTTTTAAGAATTCGGATTGATTAAGGTTGGAGGCTGTCGTGCCAAGATGCGCTTGTGAAAGAGAAAAGTTTATCTTATTGTTTCTAAGCAGATTTTTTTAAGCTCAGCCGAGCTAAGTACAACGTTGTCTGAACTTTGGAAAACCCATGATTCAGGCTTCAAAAAGAGGTACATAACGCGAGACTCTTTCCTTTGTAGCTCATCCTGCAAAGAGCCTATGCAGTCCTTATACCTCAAAGACTGCTACTATACTACAGAGAAGAAGATTATGAGACACATCCCTACGACCCCCAAGTATTTCTGGATCTGCAAACGTGCCTAGCCGTGCAAAGGACCGAAAGCGGTGCCAAGAGTCCTGAGTTCCTGCTGCTTGTACGTTATCTTATATTACTTTAGTGTGATCATCTTGCAGAAATTCTCAACTACCTTCGTTGCAACATCTCTTTTGCTCAACTATTCCATCTTCTTTGCTGTCTTCGACAGTTGACATCTTGGAATGCTCAGAAAATCAGGAAACTTATATATGATGCCCTGTCCTTCTTTTCAACATTTACCTCTGGCCCGAATTGCTAAGCCTACTAAATCCAGCACTGATACTGCTAGGATACCCGTTGCATACTCTTACGACTGCTGCCGCTATTGACTATTATTACCATTAATGCTACTTTTACGATTATTCATTACAAATGACTACTACAATTGCTATATGCCTTTAAAACAATTATAATTCGGGTTTCGGTTTCAGTATTGTTGTTAATGATCGTGCAAATATGAGCTTCACCGTGAACACTTATGATGTAGCGGATTTTAAAACTAGTTTACTCTTCTCGTTCATATGCTTCCTTTAAACTGGCGTAATATTGCGTCAGTGTAAGTCCAATTCTAACAGAAATGAATCAGACAAGGTTTCTAACGGGAAAAAAGTGCAGTAGACCCCGAGCTTCAAGCTTAATAACCTTCAATTCGAAAACTTATTTTTAAGTCCAAATGGACGCCTAACCTAATAGCCAAAATGAAATCTAGAATACATTGCTTGTTGAATTTTGCTGTTATCAGTCATTAACGAAAATTTAAAAATTACGAATTTTCAGACTCAGGCTAATACTGATAATTCCAGTTTCTCGACTTAAAGGCCCATCGGGTTCTTTCTATGAGCCCATGGCTTTAGGTAATGGCATGACCGATAACACATTTTTTTTATTTCTTTCAAAGTTCAATAGATTTAATTTTTAGATGTTCCTCGCAAAAGGAATATTCCTAGGCGTCAAGCTAATGTTTGGCAAACGCTTAATAGTCAATCTCTATAAGCAGTTCACTATTTTACCACTAACTCCGTGTGCCATGAAATGAATTTTTATTTATTTTTCAAGCTACTACCTGGAGGAGCCAAGCTGTTTGTCTGTGAGTCCCTTGCGGAGCGCGAACAATGGATTAATAAGATCAACGTGGCGATGGAGGCTGATATTCAAACGCGAAAAATGCAACAGATATTGCAGGGGTTTTCGATAAAAAGCGGCATCAACTACACTTTTTTCCACAGCTTATCTCTAAATGATTCTTCTAATTATACGGTACGGAAGCCCTCGCCGAAACGGGCTAGTTCACTTGAACCTCGGCTGATCATACCGACTTCGGTGCCGCTTACTTCGTCGGAAACCCTAATAGTTGATTCCAGTCAAGCCCCCTTGACCAATCCAATACAAACTGCGGTTTCAACGGAGACGCATTCAACATCGTCATCCAAGACAGCAGCAACTGACGCAACTTTGCTTGCTTCCAGTGAAAAGTCAATGGATTACCAATCAGAAAATGCACAGCCCGGAAAAGATATTTCAAATCCTGCGCCCGCAGAGCAACATAAAACTGAGGATAACCCAGAAACCTTAGGAGTTACTCGGGACTCAGACAGTTTGCAAGACCGGGAAAATTCCGGGCAGTACTCAGAGACCTTTGTCTCGGTTTGTGATACGCGCGAGAGTGTGGACTCGGGGTTATTCTCTGCGGAGGGCACGGAATCTGATGGATGTTCGTGTCTTACAAATAGTCACGAAACAGATGAGATAGCCAAAATTTTACGAGAGGTGCACCCTCACCTTTTCGGTGAACCCTGGAGTTCCGCTCAGGTAAGCCCACATTATTTTGCCTACTATATATATATATAATCGACAAATGTACTTGTCCTGGTAAAATTTAACCTACCTCTTACTTAAAATACGTAGCACTTCATAGGCCAGTGCTGCCTTACCACAATATCTTTCAGCATTTGCAGTATTATTGGATCTGCAGTACATAGCTGCTCGGTCGAGTAAGCCAAAGGTGCACTATTCCTCCTGTGCTAATAAGGGTGCATAAGTCAAATCTCACAGAATGTTTAAACTTGACAGCATTTTGCCCCACGGCGGGTAGAAAATGAGGATTCTGGTTAAGTTATCTGTCTCAAATGGCAACCTTTGACGGGTAATAGTCCAGGAATTGCTATTTCCATCTGTTTTCTCCTGTTTGGTCTTGTCATTCGGGCTCTGTGGCCGCAAACCAAACTACCACTGCATATGCCTGCTAGTTCAATCAACGTGTGATTAGAATTTTTGGGGCAAAATAACAGTGTAAACTGAGAAACAAATCCAAGAACCAATCGCCTGTGGCAAGGTTGTGTGGTTTGCTGATTTACCTTACGATTCGTTTGAGCTACCGACCAATGCACACAAGAGGGTCATGCGTGGGAAAATTAATGTACTATGCAGCTACTCTCCCCTTTTACCTCCTGATGCACTTTGGCTCAATGGAAGTTGGCTCCGACAGTAAGTATTGACCAGATGATGAGTCGGCACGTTTAGCATTCAGTTTTATGACGACACACAGGTACGCAATGCTCAGTCACGCTGCTAACTCTTCAGCTCATCACGTGCCACTGACATCTTTCAGTCTTTATCGTGGCTTTCTCAGACGCCAGTACAGTACAGCTCCGAATTCGTACAACATGCCGACATTTGCGAGAGACTGATACCCACTCGCTAACCGGCATTGCGTATGGCTGTAATACTGATTACCGTGTAGCCTATTCTCAAGTCAGTTCAATCAGGGAAGGATGTTTGGCTTTCTAACGAGATTCTTCCTGACCGCTTACAAAACTTACGTTATATAAACAGACTACTTAAGTAGTATGCATTTTAGCATGCATTTTGATTGTCCTTATAAATTCAAGTATATATTATGGAAAAGACGCGCGAAAAATTCTTTCTGTACTCGCTTGGTAGCAAACTACTTGAAAAATGGTATCCTTCGATTTTCGGAAAATGTCTTATTATGTAATTATTTGCACTTGTGAGGTGTTCATTAATAATACGTCATATCCGTAAATTTATTAGTGCTGTGTAAAATGTATGCAACATGACTTACTTCCATTGAAACATTTTGTGACAACTATGTGGCTTATTACTCATACCATAGGCAAAGACGTACTTTTTCTTAAACAGGATGTACACGACGCGCAGTTTGTTAAATTTGAATTCACGTGTAGCAGTCGGTAGGTTTCAAAATTTGTCGGTAATTTAGGAAATTTTCTAAAACCGAAAGATATTCTTTAAGTGTAAAATTTAAAGAAGGCATAACTTTCTACCAAATGAGTACAACACAGAAATCTTTTTGCATGCTTTTGCATAAAGTATATTTGAATTTATACAGACCATCAAAATCAATGGTCAAAATGCATGCTATTTAAATAGTCTTTTTTATATTATGATATGTTTGTTGGCGGTCAGAAAGAAGCTCTCTAGTAAGCCAATCATCCTGTCCTGACTGAAATTACTCGAGAACAGGCTACACAGTAATCCTTATAACAACCTTCCTCAGTGTCGATTAGCGAGTGAGTATCAGTCTCCCGCAAATTTCGGCATGTTGCACGAATTTTGAACCGCGGTTTATGTACATAAAACAAGGGAAGTTCTTATAGTTGTGATTGATGTTTTATTTATAATTTTCTGAGTTGGCAATTAACGTGAACCTAAAGCTTGTAAACGACAGTTGGCAACAGCGGTTTAAGTAGTGCACCTCATATGCCCCTACTCCTGGCATTTCATCCTACGGAAACGGTGGTTAAAGGGGATTTATGGGTGAGTAATTAGGATAGGCAGTAGAATATACTAGAGTAACTGCTATATGCATTTTTACTTTATTGTACTTATAAATGTTGTTGATTTATATCTGTAGATTTCAATATATATATTCTCTTTTCACGTATTGCGGAAAAACTTTATTATAACAATGCAGATTCCTTGAAATTCCTTGAAAAGTAGAAATGGCAATTATATGGTCGTCTACTTTAATTTACCTGCGATCCAACTTACCGTTCTGGTGTTATATTAGTACAGTGCGCGGAGATTCGCGCCGCGCACACCTCCAATTTACATGCGGAACAACTTGCTCCCAGCGGCTGCGGGAAACAAATTCAACTACATTTTTCCATTATAAACTTACTTCTACGAATTAACTTTACTGCCTATCCTATTTCCCCACGCCCAAAACGTCTATTACCACCATTTCCATAGGAAAAAATGACGGGACTAGAGGTATATGAGATGTACTACTTAAACGACCTTTGCCCGACAGTTTGTCTGCATCGTAGAGAGTAAACTTATTCTACCCGTTGTACGTGTCCACTTCATTTTTTCTGAGTGTCTCCTACAGCTGACGCTGCACGGGGCACCCCTTTAAGAAAATTCGATAGAATTTGATTTATCCCTACTTGGTTTATTCAAACAAAAAAACGATCCGAGACCTTACTGTATATTTAAGACTCAGCCTTAATACGTAAAAAAAAGTGTTCCGCGGTAAAATGGACCAGTTACAGGAAG